CTATAAGTATGAGAGAGGTTCGATTTGATTCCATTTTCAATCCTTCGGAAAGCACTTTCTGATATACCCCTTTGCCTTTCTTTACTGTAACCGTTTATTTTGTGAGAGACTCTCCCACTTCTGTTGAAACCACACTTCCTATCGTCAGTGCTTCGTTTCTTAAGTAGTATAATCATGACAAAACACGGACAGGGTAATAAAAAGGCCAAAGATAATGCCTCGTCTAGGGTTCCGCCATCTTCCGGTGGTGAAGGGGAAAAGGCGGAGAAGGCCCTTGTTCCTCTCAGCGTAGACAACGTCCTTCCGAAGGAGACGCATGTTCGCAGGGATTTTCCAACTAAAAGCCCTGACCTTCCCTGGGAGCACAGCGTTTTATTACAATCTCATTTAGATGACCTTCGAGAGACGCACCATATTCCGGACCACCTGGAAATGGTTCCGGCTGGGACGGACTATGCCAATGTGCACCGGCCTGGATATTGCACGTTCTATGAGTACCCGTTCTTGATCGGTTACAATCTTCCAATCTATCCTCTGATGGAGGAGCTTTGCCGTTTTTATAATGTGTGTCCTGCCCAGCTCACTCCTTATACCTTGAAGGTGTGCCGTATTATGACCACCTATGCGGCCAGGGCTGAATGCAGTGTCTCGGTTCACCACCTCTTATAGTTATTCAGCGCTGGTTACCTGAGGGGTACCATGCTGCAGTTAAAAGGTCGGGGCACAAGGGGCTTAGTTGTTAAAGCCGATGATAAGCCCAACCGCCGCTTTTGGCGTAAGTATTTCTACATCAGGACGGAGCACCTGGTGTCGAATCCCGAAGGGTTCCCGGAAAGATGGAATCCAGAACGTAAGTATTTCTATTTGTAGAATTCAGGGCTGCTTGCGCTTTTGACCATACGGCCATTGTGGGCGTCCTATGATGACGTTGTACGCCGTTTCTTGGTTCATCACGTGGAAGGTTGTTTCCAGCGTGACTCCTCCTGCTAAGACGGGTAGTGCTATTTCTCCGGACGTCCGTTCCACTGCATTGTTAAAATCGGTTAGTGTTATGCAGCACGGTATTACCCTATCCTCGAGTCCCATTTGTACGAGGACCCTTGGGTGGATAATACAGGCGCCACTTCCGTCATCGATCATGACTCTTTTAACATCCGTATCAGCGATACGTAAAGTGATAACTAAAGCATCATAATGAGGGAAAGACAAACCGTCGGCATCAGACTTATCGAAGGTGATACTATCTTCGAAGTCGTCATACCGTTCATGGGCGATGGTCCGCTTTAGTCTGTGTGTGGTGGCGAACTTGACGTGATTGATCACTGACTCGTCGCCGCCTCCGACGATCATGTTTATCGTGCGCGCTGGGAAAGGTGGCTTCGGCGGCCCGTGGGGTTGTTCTCGTCCGCGTGCAAAGTTGATTTTCCCTTTGTCACTGAGTAACTCCCTCAGGTAGCATCCTGACCACCTCTTGCCGTAGGCCTATACAGTCTTCGGTTTTGTGTCCTCGTTCCTGATGGAACTCACATAGGGCGTTTGATTTCCTTGTGGCAGGGTCTGATTTCATCTTCTGCGGCCACTGCACCTTGGTGCCCAGCTTCTCCAGTGCGTACACTATTTCTGAAGGAGATACACAAAAGTTATGGGCGGTTAATAAAGGGGGCGTACCTCTTTCGTTTCGGAGTGGGGCGACGTGTCGCTGTAGCACGTCTGTATGCCTTGGTGGAGGATGGGAGGATCTGGTGTATGGCTGATGTCGATCTCTGTTGGAGCGGGGGAGTTGTTCTCGTCGTCCTTCGTTCCGTCGATCTCTCCTCGTTTCTGAGTGTATCGCTTTTAGCCGTTGGGTCGGCCCATTAAGATCGTCCTCGTCCGCTCGTACCTCGGCGCTATAGGCGTTGTGGATTTCCTCCCATGTGGTAGGGGGATATTTCATGAGGCGGCTCAGCAGCTTCTTGGTTGCCCTCGAACCATCTCTGCTTAGCCCGTTCTGGAAAGCGGCGACTGCCATACCTTCCGATACGTTTGGTAGACTCATCCTTACCCTGTTAAACCTTTCCAGGAAGTCCCTGAGTCCCTCTCCTGTGTTCTGCCTGACGGCGAAGATGTCGTTGACCCTGGCCTCCGCTTTCTTCGCGCCTGCATGGGCTGTGACGAACTTATCCGCCATTTCCTCGAACGTTGATATTGCCTTAGCCGGTAGCTGAGAGTACCATGTTAAGGCCCCTCCTGTCAACGTCTCGCCAAACTTCTTCAGCAGTACCGACGGTACCTGTTCTTTCGATAGGTCGTTGCCCTTCACAGCGGTGACGTAGTGGATCAGATGATCCTCGGGATCTGTGGTTCCGTCATATACCCTCAAGTAGGGTGGCATCTTGAAGGTTTTTGGGGTGGAGTGAGGGGCAGCTTCTTCAGTGTATGGTTGTTCAACGAACCTTCCCACGTCGCGTTTTGGTAGCAACTTGGGAGCACCGGGGATCTTGTCGACCCTCTCCTGATGTTCCTTCATCTGACCGCGGAGCGCCTTGTTTTCATTTTCCATTTCTTCCATCTTCTTTAGGATGGCTGTTAGCGTGCCATCGTTGGTCTGTGTCTCGATGGGATTGTTATTCGCTAGTGTAACTTCCGGTTCGCTCACGGCAGCAGTGGTACCTACCATTGGTGTACATCCGATGTTACTTTGTGGTGACCTCTCAACCAAGCCACTTAGAGCGCTTGTCAGCCATCTTTCCAGTAGCTCTTTGACTGCTGAGGGTGCTTCCGTAACCGCAGATGTGGAAGCTCCTTTTTCGTGCAAGATCGTCAGACCTTTGGATGGGGAAGGCGAGATCTCTGCACCTGGTGTGATGCTAGGGGTTGCATTCAGGATGCCATCGTCACTGGCCTCGTTGAGAGGGCCAAGGAGATTGGTAGTGACACCCCAATATAGCTTTCGATCTTGTATTATTTTCGGCCATTTTCTGTTGTTTTTTTTTGTTGGTGTAGAGGGTGGTAGTTGGTTGATCTCTAGGTGGATAGTATGGTTTTGATTCTCGAAATCCCCACAGACGGCGCCAAATTGTTTGGCTCAAAAGTTAACAATATACTTTGTAAGCTAAAAAACAATCAAAAGTAGAAAAAGGCAAATATAATAATCCTAGAGATGCAAAGATGATATATTGTTGTAGATCTAGTATTGCAAAGAGACAGTATGAACTCAAAAAGATACGTTCGTTTGAAGTAGAGATAGAGAGAGAAAGCCAGAAAAATGAGAGAATTGTATTAGATCAGATCCCCCTTTTTACAATGTGAAGGTCTCCTTTATATAATAGGAGATCTTCCTCGAAAGAATCAAAAAGTTACAAAGATAGGTAACGTCTTCCTAGTGAAGACATTGAGTCCTAAACGATGTCGCTTTTGCCCCCACGGCCGACTCGTACCCGCTACGTTGGCAGGCGTACACTTATTGGGCGTACCTACTGGCGTAGAGATGCTGAGGGTCAAATTTGACCCTATACATATATATTTTTACACAGTTAAATACAACTACAATATCATAGAACTTAGATACAAATTTTATACAAAAATTTATACAATGTCTTTTGTATCTTTTGTAACTGATTTATAAATAGTAAAATAAAAAATTCATACAACTAATTATATATTATACAACTTATCTACAACTTTCACACATTATTTCTACCCAGTTATATACAACTACAATATCATACCACTTAAATACAAATTTTATACAAATTTTATACAATATGTTCTTTTGTATATTTTGTATCTGTTTTATACATAGTAAAAACAAATTTCATACAACTAATTATATATTATACAACTTATCTACAATTTTCATACATTATTTCTACTCAGTTATATACAACTACAATATCATACAACTTAAATACAATTTTTATAAAAATATTGTTCAACTTTCATACAATAGTTAAATAAAAAAATATATATAAATAACGGAATATAATTTTTCTACAATTTTACTACAATTTCGTAAGTATAATATATGTCATGTCTTCTTCTTCTTCTTCTTCTTCTTCTTCTTCTTCTTCTTCTTCTTCTTCTTCTTCTTCTTCTTCGAGTTTCAATCTGAAAATTCAGCCAAAATCAAGTCTAATCTTCACAAAAACACCCTCAAAATTAAGATATAAACTCTAAACAATATTTCCTATTGTTTGCAACAACACCCAATCCAAACAAATATTGGTTTTTGAAAACCCAAATTCGAATTCAAAGGTTCAAAGCTTTTTAATGGCTGTCAATGGTGGAATTGCTGCTCTCTTTAGGGAATGAGAGATAGAGAGAGACGTAGAGAGAATTCCCAATTGTTTGCAACAACACCCAATTCAAACAAATAATATTTTTTGAAAACCCAAATTCGAATTCAAAGCTTCAAAGCTTTTTAATGGCTGTCAATGGTGGAATTGCCGCTCTCTTTTCCTTTTCTCTACATTACTGAAATTAGGGATTGAGAGATAGAGAGAGACGTAGAGAGAGAGAGAGAGAGAGAGCACAGGAGAAGAGAGAGACGGAGAGAAAGAGCCGCATGAGGGAGAGAGAATAAGGATGGGAAATAATTAACTCCTAATATAAATGGATACTCATTTAACTCCTCAAGTGTACATAATTGGTAATATTGTATATAGGAGGTAGTTAAATTGAAACTTTAGTAGGGAGGGTAATAAAGTTTCCAATAGTGTATAGGTATGTAAAAATTCCTTTGCATCTATATCCAATTTTTGAGTCACCTTTTAACTTATACCCGCTTTGCAAAAAAAATTGCAAGCGTACCCACTTTTCGGGTAATTTCAGACATACGGGCCTAAAGTAGCAAAGGCAATCACGCAAACTTCAGCATGTTTTGTAAATTACAACGTGTTTTTGCTGAAATTTTTGTTTTGTAATCGCTGAACTTCAGCATTCTAGGAGCTGAAGTTTGTTTTCTATTTGCTGAACTTCAGCATTCTAGGAGCTGAAGTTTATTTTGCATTTGCTAAACTTCAGCATTCTAGGAGCTGGAGTTTTTGCTTATATTTGCTGAACTTCAGCTCGATTATTCTAGGAGCTCCAACAGCTGAAGCTGCAAGTATTTATAGTTATGTGAAACAGGAGGCAAGTCTTGAGCTCCGACAGCTGAAGTTGCACTTGCAAAGGAGTATACTTTCAGGAGTACTGTTGCTGAAGTTCTCTAACCTAGGGGGAAGAATCTTGTTTCATTATCTGCCTGAGCAGTGCTTTTGCCTCCTCATTCATTACACGCTAGTACTGCACTCCTTTAGAAGGGCCAACAAAATGATCATCTGAAGGAAAATCTTGTTTACTCATGCGGTTCTTGTTGCCTTCCATCACGTTGATCGAACAAATAATGCAAGTTGATTCAACAAGTCACTAGTCTAGTGAAGTCTTTTTTACTATAATAATACTTACACAAAGTCTCATGTGTTTGAGAGAGAAAAGAAGAAGAAGAGGAGGAAGAAAGGAGCGCATAGATCAGGAAGAAGAAGAGGATACATCTGATGTTGACAAAATTAGGGTATTGGTTAAATAATTTTAAAAATATGGGTATAGGTTAAATGGGGACGACCAAATAGGGCGTCCCGTGCATTTTTTACAGTGAAACCTAACTTGAGCCCAATAGCTAATCTCAGGCCCAGGCAAGGCCAGAGAGAGGAAACGAAACCCCCCCCCCCGCTCCCCCTCCAAACTCCTAAAAAAATTAAGAAATATATATATATATATATATATATATATATATATATATATATATATATATATATATATATATATATATATGCATATATATATATGTGTGTGTGTGTGTGTGTGTTGGCTAGCGAATACAATTAGGTTCGCCCGACCGGCCAATTTTGTATTTTTCGAAGATGTGATTAGAAATTTGAAAAATTAGGTTTCATCCAACTTTCATGTAAAAGTTCATTTTTCTTCATAAGGCTACAATATATTTTCAAATAAAGTTTATATCTAAACACAATTTCAAATTATAAATACTCTTTCTGAACTTAACTCCATAACTTATTTATTTTTCATATTTTCTATGTCCAAATGCCTATATAATGTCCTCCTAGCCGGTTCTAATGTTGTAGTTAATAAGGCAAGTGCCTCCAAATTTAGGAGGCCCCATTTTTTAGAAATAATAGGTTTATAGGTATTTTAAAAAAATATATTTAGTACCTTTTTCTCATATAAAAGGAGTTTTTTTTTGCTATGTAAATAAAGTAACTGTTTGATTTGCTTAAAGATGGGTAGTATGCATATTTAACGTGTGAATTGGAATTGATTTGATAAGGGAAATAGTATAAGTTAAAGATAGTACTCTAATCGACATACTCAATTACATAAAAAGACTTTTCTTTTCCAAATGCTTTATTGCTTATAGAATAATATTAACAGTTCCCATAACATTTGTCTCAGCGAAAGAAGTTTTTCAAAATTAACATTATTGACCTTAGTTAAGATCGATAATGTCTCAAGAAAGATTAAATGGGTTGGCTATATTAGTTGAAAAGAAATTATTTAAAAAACTAATTATGAAAATATTATTAACACTTAGCATCTCAAAAATTTAGAAGAATAAATGATGATATGCTATAATTACGTATTTTAGTCGATTATTACATTCTAATTTACTGCACTTTAGTTGAGTTTGCACTTTAAAATCGCTAGTGTTTTGCACTAATTATGTGTTTTATGCCTTGTAGGAGTGATTCCGAGCTATATAGATGTTATGGAATGCATTCAAGTGATTTGGAGCTTTGAAGTCTGTGTAAAAGCCCAAGGAATTAAGCCGGGATCGTATTCGGAGATCAATAGATGATAGAGCAACAAAACGAAGAATCGAGTAGGCATATTGCGCACTGTCTAGTAAAATGCACATAACTTTTCGCTCAAAATTCCATTTGGCAATCAGAATATATGGTTGGAAATCTAACTCAAAGGGCTACAACTTTAATGTTTTATGTTTTTCTAAATTCCAAACAAGTGCTTTGCGGTCAGGTCCGCGGTCCAATCCGCGGCCGCGGACGTCCTGTCCAGGAAAAGTGTCCTTGTTCGCATAGAGAAGGTGTAATTGTTTGGGAACAACCCTACTTAGTATATATATACATGGAAAAAATGGTATTTTGCGGACTTTTGACATACTTTGGACATAATTTCGACCTAAGGAGGCTAAGGAGACCAGAGATTCAACCTAAGGAGGCAAGAACACACTAGGAGCAAAGCGGAGAATTCTTCTACGAGTTTTTCACTTCCTTCTTCCTATTTCCATTATTGGTTATGAGTTCTAGTATTGTAGTTATACATACTATTATGATTAGCTAATTTATTATCTAGGGGTTTGATGGAACCTCTAGGAGGATGAATTCTTGTTATGTTTTAATATAATTTAACCGTTGGATTTCTCTACTTGTTCAAATACGTGTTTGTTGATGTTGATTGAATGGCCATCAATTGACTGTGCCTATTTAGTGTGTACTTCTCGAGAGAGAGTATATATTTAGGTAGTTGTTGAACAACATCACTCCTAACGTATGTGAGAGATCAATACAGAGGGTTTAAAGGCGAGATTAGAGATAACGAAACCTTGGTGCGATCGTAGTGAGCGGTGAATTAGTGCCAGATAGCGTAGTTTGAGAGAATATGTCTAGTAAATTGTTGTAGTTGCTCAAGAGAGAATTATGGCACCTAAAGTGCTCACGATTAGTAGAGAATACATAGGCAAAATTGTAGGGAACATAGCGGGAAGGATTCTAACATTTTGGGAAATCATAACTCTAGACCTCCTAAATTTAATCTTCAACCCTTAGTATCTTTAGTTGTTAATTTACTGCATTAGTTTCTTAGTTAATTAGTTAGATATAAGAATCTTAATCTTTATAACTTAGAAATTTATTCGGGCTTGTCTTCTTAGCGATATTGAACAATTATGGAGAAACCTTAGTTCTCTGTGGGATTCGACTCCGGACTTTTAGATCGGATTATATTTGCAGCGACCGCTTATCCTTTTTAGGACTAGAGTTGGGCGTGATCAAATTTTGGCGCCGTTGCCGGGGAACTAACGGTGTAGCTGTAGGTGTACATATTGCTAGGTTGCAAGTTTGAACTTTTAGTTTTGTTTTGTTGTATTTGATTTTTTTTATGTTTTTGTTTTACTTGTTAATTTGAGAAACATGGCATCCTGGAATTATGGGAGTTTGGATGTTGGTATTTCTACTTTTAATCCTCCTTATGCATATTATGAAGAAAACCACCCATGGCAAAATTATCAAAATATTCCCGAGAGCGAGTTATGTGCACCAACTCAATCTTATGTGTGGAATGTATGTGATGTGTGGTGGTCAAGATGGTCACTTTTATGGTTGTGCTTATATTTCTTATCTTCCCCCAACCCCTTACTTTGATGGTTCTTCTTTTTCTTGTGAAGTTAATAGGAACAAAGAACCCAGGGATGATGACGTGAAAGAGATCAAGGATAAAGGTGCCGTGTGGAACAAAATAATGAGAAACAACTGCACATACAAAGTCAAGATGCTGCTATTCGCAACTTGGACACACAAGTGAGTCAACTAGTTGAGGTAGTTAACGCTCAACAAGCCAATATTGTGGATAGTAGCCAAGAAGAGCATGAATTAGATGCCAAAATTGAGGTGCAAACGGAGGAGGTCAGAGTAGAAAACCAACAATCTAACCAACTAGAATTTGAGGATGGCGATGTTGAAGAAGTGAGACTAGAGTCAGCCAAGGACATTAAGGATATACATTTTGTTGAATCTAGTATCATTGATGTTGAGGATGCTGAAAGTCCTGAAGTTCATGTGTGTGAGCGCATTGGTCCACACTCCAAGCATTTTTCCACATTGTGTTTGGATGATGATATGGAAATAGAGTCATCCGAACCAATTGAAGAGTCATGTAATGAGGAACAAGGTGCATATATTTTGGAATTTTTCTTGCCAGAAAGTCAGGATTACATACCTCATATAAAGGCTAACGAGTGCAGAATACTACATTATTTCCTTGGGCCAGTTAGATTCGTTCCACCGCCCCAAGATCATAATCATAAGCTTGAAGCAAAACTTGGGGTTCAATTCATAAGCTCGAGGTGGAGACAAAAAGTGATTCGCGTTGTGCCGCGATGTTAAATCAAGCGCTTATTGGGAGACAATCCAGCTTTACTGCTTTTTTTTATTTATTAATTTTTTTATTATTATTTTTATTTGTATTATTTTTGTAGTGTCAATTTTTGATTTTCTAGGAGTATGGAAAGCAAAGCTATTGGAAGGATGCAACATCAAACCAGATGGTTGGAACTAAGTGTGAGGTACCCGCACGAAGGACCAAGCCTGGGAGAAGTATGAGTACCCCATGAGCTGCTAGTGCTTCGGCCTCTGGCCTACTAGGGAGTTTCTTTTACCCTCTTATAGTTATGATGTGTATTGGGGACAATGCACAATTTTAAGTGTGGGGTGAGGAGATTGTCTGGGTGACTTTCTATGCTATTTTAGTTGTGTTAGTTTAATTGAATATTTTTTTTATTTTTCTTAGAAAAACAAAAAAAAGATTGGACTTTTCCCGACGATGGATCTATTAGACAATTTTCTTAAGGGATATAAGTTTAAAGAAAAAGACAAAAAGATTTTCTGTTGTCAGGTAGTATAGCAATTACCTCTTGGTTTTTCTTTGTGTCGCGGTTCTTTTCCAAGGGTCTTGTTTGAACCGGGTGTAGTTAGTTTTATTTTTTTAGGAGTAGGAGCTAGTGTGAGATGAATTGAATTGCAGCGATATCTCTTAACTTTGTTATGCCTCGAGAATAGTAAATACTCTGGTTGTGACGCTTAGGCTCAGTTTTTGACTCTTGTATAAGTACCTGAAATTGTATGGTCTTAACTTTGCTTAACTGCTTTGACTAGAGTGTCTTGATGAAACCAATCATGAGTGAGTTATGTGCCATGTGTGTGTGAGGTTTGGGTGTTATTCTGTGCATTGCATTTGAAGCCTAGAACTTGCCCCGTGTGTTTGCAAAGCAAAATTGTAGTTTGTTCAGTCTTGGAAGTGATATAGGCG